TATATGTGTGTTTTTCAGCACATGTAGAAAATGAGGAGCAGTACACTCAGGCCCTGGAGAAGTTTGGAGAAAACTGTGTGTACAGAGACGATCCTGATCTGGGCTCAGCTTTCCTCAAGTTCTCCGTCTTCACCAAGGAGCTCACAGCGCTTTTCAAAAACCTTGTGAGTTCACACTGTATGTGTATGTGGCTGTATGTGTGGGTGGGTAAAGTCCTCTGGGACAAAGACAAATTTTCATGCTGTCCTTAATTGTGTTTATTCCACCGTGTGTGTGTTCTCTAACACACACTGAGCACACACCAAGTCCAGCTTGAACTTAAAGCCCTGAGGACGTAGCCCTAGTTTTTCCATCAAGACATCTGAAGAGCCAGTGCAACACCAAATATCTCCTGGATCTAATACTGCCTGATCTGTTAAGCCCAGGTCTTGTATGAAAGCCAACGCTTCATTAAAAAAATTTGACTCCATCTTGTGAGGTCTGTCGCTCCCCTCGCACACTTTATCAGCTCATACCGAGAACGGGAGCTTTAGATTTTGTGTTGGTGTGATCTCAGCGTCTTATATTAAAGAAATATGAGCTTCTGCCTGACCTGGATGTGAAGATGTAATCTCCAATAGCTTAAGAAAGCACTGGGTTCCTGGATTGCATGTAGGGGCTGGCCTTTATAGCAGCTTGGAAACAGCCGAGTTAAAGGCAGAATTTGTGTCTTTAACAAGTTTGAAATGTGATTAAAAATGAAAATAATACCAAGGGTGGTGGAATTTTTGGACCCAAGACACTCAGCTATGTGTAATTAACCCTTTTGCACCTTCACTCGATGTTTTCTCACAAGCTTAACGATTCCTGAATCCATTTCAGACTAAAATCTTAATAGCATTTAGTTCAATTCACTTTTGTTTAGATGCCACCGATTCACAATAACAGTCACTTTGTATAGTAAGATCTGACAGTGTTAGAGAGGATCTCCTACAGTTGAACAAATGATCAATTCAGGTCTCAAGCACACAAATCTAGAGCTAAGTCCGTGACTCTCGTGGCAAGCATGGTTTCCAGGAAAAGAATCTGCATTCCTGGACTGGTTAGCAAGTATAATCAGTCCCAAAGAGCGTGCCGCAATAAAAACCTCCCTGTGATTGCTTTGGTTGCTAGCAGACTGTAGTGATCGCCTATAGTTTGCATGTACAAGGACTTTTCTGCAAACACTCTCCGAGAAGCAGTGAAACTTGAAAAAAATGGAACACCAAACAGAAATCGAGAGCATTCTCCTTCAAAGTAAAAGATTTATCTCACTGCTGCAACCAGAACATTTTCAACTTTTATTTTGAAGGAGAACAGTATTTGCTTCCTGTTTGCGTGACATTTTTCACAGTTTCACTGCTGTTTGGTAAGTAGTTTGCAAGTATCTGGAGACTTCTGTGCAAACTGCTGACGACTGCAGCAACCTGCTAGCAACTAAAGCTATCACAAGTAGTTTTTTGCTGCCAAATGGTCACCAACACGTAACTAAGCCTGTGTGACTGAGACCTTATCTTCATTAAGATGCTACATACTGCAGGCTTAAAGAATAACAAAACGAATGACCTGATTCAGCTGATTTCCAACCTTCCTTGACTGAGAAACCATCCATACCACTGCTTTTATTGTAAAACATGACCAGTTGTGTATACATGCTGTCGCAGTAGATGTTTACACATATTTATTTTTAGTGTTTAGTGACTGTTTCCACTGAACCTGTGTGACGTGTTCTGTGTTACAATTTGTCTGCTAGTTGCTTCTTTATTTGCGCAGCATTAGCCTTTCAACGCTATTATTTACTTAAGATGAAGAGCGGAAACTCTGGATACTCTGGATTTTGTATGTCCACTGCAAGGAGACGCAGCACACAGGACACTGCTGAAAGGATTACGTCTCAGTGACTTTCAGTCTCCTGCTGTCTTAAAATCTCTGACGTAACCTTTCGACTCTTATTTGTGTCTCTCTTCAACTTCCTCCAGTTCCAAAACATGAACAACATCATCACCTTCCCTCTGGACAGCCTGCTGAAAGGAGACCTGAAGGGTGTCAAAGGGGTAAGGAAACTAAACAGCAAGTCTTTGTGTTACTCTCCATGTGCTGTGTTTTATACAGGAGGAAATATTAAAGCCATTATTCTTGGATGATGCCCTGAAGTACCTCTTATTCTGCGATAGTGGACGGACACTAAGGGTTGTTCTTGCACTAATTTCAATGTAAATGTCAGCTGATGAACATATTCATCTTGCAGTTGTTTAATCCGTCAAAGAAACCAGATCGCAGAGTGAAAACGGCTCACTAGACGTACAGAGAGACCTTCTGAGTGGTTCAAAGCTGCTGGACAATTATTACCCTCCTTTAGGTGCTGCAGTCTAGCTATCAAGGTTAATAACACGCTGCTTTGATCTCAGACCACGTTCCTGTTCCCAAAAAAGTAAAAGTGGAGCTGGCAACACAGAGAGAGAGATGGTGGATGAAGCAGTTCCTGGAATATACCTGTCTGCAGCAGAGCTGATTCATCAAACTGCAGAATAAAAAAATCAGCCTCTGACTGAATGAATATTAATGTTAATGTTTTTGTGTAGTTATGCAAAACTATTAGGGATGGAGTCCACAATCTCTCAGCTTGAGTGATTATTTATTAATGTCTTTAATTGCTGCTACAATGGTGCAGGTTCATATTAAAATGGCCATAAGGTCAGCAAGCGTGCAAATAACAACACCAGTGAGAGCAGATATTCTTAATAA